TGAATATTAATTTCAATGAAAATGTCACAGCTAGACAGAAGGAAGGTGTTCAAGATCTACTGTACCTCCTGGTGCTAAGCGAATAACAATGTATTATGCACTTGAACATTGCTAGAATCTATTTTAAGGGTTTTCACTACAAAAAAGTGTGTGAGGTAATATTATGTTAAATAACTTGATTTAGCCATTCTATAATGTACGGGCATACTAAAAATTAGGTTATATGCCATAAGTGCAATTTTGGGTTTGTCAGTTAAAAGACATCAACAAAAATTATGAAAATGTATAATTGTCTCTCCAAAGAACCAAGAGCTCTAGCCCTCTGATGTGGGGAGGTGACATTGCCTCTAGTGAGTGAGAAAGGCAGCCTGCAGGGAAGGTGCAGGCCCCACTGTCTGGGCATGTTAATGATGTGGGAACTGCATGGAGGGGGCCTGGTGGAGGTTAGGCAGCCTGCGGGGCTCTGGGTCCCAGCCAGAAGGGCTCACTGTGCCTGACAGGGACTGTCACCAGCAGCCGTGGGTCCCTGCATGAAGCCAGCAAGGCGCTACTCCATCAGCATCTCCTTTTACTACAGGCCTGGGAATTTCTGAGCAGAACACACGTGGAGGACATCTGTTTTCTGTGTCCCCCCTTCAAAGCAGTGAAACTAATGATTTGAGAATGAAGAAAAAAAAAAAAAAAGGAGGAAAAGTCAGCATTGAGCTCTGTGCTTCAAGAGCCTGGTTACATTTCTGAACACCCTGGGTTTGCTCCTGTAATACTCTTTGAGGTTGATTTTTTTTTCCCTTTTTGGTTAAAAAAGTGTTCCAGGCAATTTCAGCTCAGTGTGCTACTTTGGCTTGGGGCTCTACTTACCATAAGCTACAGACACTTAACTCATCTGCATCCTGAACATCACTTAGAGATGCTGGTCACCTCCAACTCAGCACAACACGGTTGACATTCTCCCAACCTTGATGGTCTTCTCACATTTGCCCCCTCTTTCTATGAGATGAAGAAGCCAGACTTAAAATGTTACAAAGCTTTCTCCTATTGCATGGGGGCCCCTTGCTCTATCTGTGTGTTGTTGAGACAACGTACTTGGAAATTCCCAAACTCCTGCATTTGAGACACATCAGAGGGAAATATGCACAATACCACACTCTTATAATGTTCAGTCATTGTTGATCATATACAAAAGTCATTTATCTTATATTTCATTAAACATTTTTGTTTAAAAAAAGGTAATTTTTTTATAGTGCTGGGGATTGAACCCAAGATCTTGAGCATGCTAGGCAAGCAGTCTACCACTGAGTTACACCCCAGGCCTTTTTTCTTTCTAAATTTTATTTTGAGATGGGGTGTAAGTTGCTAAGGTAACGTAGAGAACTTGTGATACTCCTCCCTCAGGCTCCTGAGTAGCTGGAATCACAGGTGTGCTCCACAGCAGATCACTCTCCTTCTGCCCAGCCTCCCTAACACTTGCTGATGGAACATTCTCTGGGGCCTCAACTGTCTCTGCCAGCCATCCTCATAATGACTTGCAATTAAAAAATAGACACTTGTTTGGCTCTTCTTGCCCAGAGTGACAAAAACAATTTTTCATCTGGAAAAACAATTTCCAGATGGAAACTAAAGAGATGTGACACATGTGACCCTAGATTGGGTTCCAGACAAGATAAAGGATGTTAATGGAACAAATGGCACACCTTGAGCAAGGTCTGAAAGTTAGATAATAATGTTGTGCCAAGGCTGATATCATGATTCTGATTATTGTACTGTAGTTACACAGGAGAAAACCACACTAAAGTGTTTACAAATAGAGGCAAGGTATCTGCAACTTACGCTCAAATAATCAGGAAAAAGATAGACGTGTGTGTTGACAGGCATGGGCGAATGCGTGTCTAGGTGCACGGACATGTTGGAGAGGGAATGAATGGTAAGGAAGGTGGCAAGCTATTAACATTAGACCACTCTTGGAAGAAAGGCATAGAGGAAGTCTGTACCATTTGCTCCACGTTTTGTTAAGTCTTCAATTATTTCAAAATGAGAAATTAAAAAAAGAAAATTAAAAAAGAAAAGGATTTTCATTGGTAGGAGGTAGGAAAACCAACCAGAAGGAGCTGATGACAGAAAAGAGTTCTCTGAACTTGAACTGCTTCAGGGCCTTGTGAGTGCAGTCTGTTCCAAACCCCTCTCCTACTGAGCTTCTCAAGAGCCTGAGCTCTCCTCCTCTTTCAAGCCAGAGTCCCCCCAAATCCCCTCACTTAGCTGAACAATCTCTCTCCTGGCTGGGCCTTCAAAGAGAGCTCAGATCCACTCCTTCCCTGGGTAGCCTCTATGGAAACCTGCATTCCTCTCTGGTACCTCCCTAACATCTGCTCTCTCTCCACTGGGAGAGCCCGGGGCTGGGCTTCTCCGCTGCAGCATGTGTTAGTCAGGATGCACACAGCAGGTTATACTGCAGTAGAAAACTGTCCCTAAAGTTCAGCTGACTCAACTCACTGTTGATTACAACTTAAAAGTCAAGTTCTCACTCATGCAACATGTCTGCGGTGGTGTGTTAGGGTATCTCTGCTCATTGAAATCCCTTGGGAACCCTGGTTGATAGAGGGTCCATCTTGACTCTTCTACAATCACCACAGGAGGGTAAAAGGGAAGGTGGTGAATTACTGGATTTTTAAAATTTCTTCTCCAAAAAAAATAAATAAAAGTTATTTTCCCTCATTTCATAAAGCAGAAGGTAAAATCCTTGGGTCATAAGGGAGAGAGAAATATATTTGTAACATCCCTAACTGTCACAGCACTGATTCTTGGTGGCTAAGTTGCATTTAACAGGTAAATTTAGGACTGCAGCCTAAGAGACATAGGGCACAAGAAACAAGGATGCCAACTGCCACCAGAATGCCACCTTCAACCAGGGGCAGAATCAGGAAGACAAATAGCCAAGACCCACCAGGGCGTGTCCCCCTCGGAGAYATACCCAAGCTCCTTTGTGCTCCCATGGCCACCTGCACAGGCTCCTGGCACCCTGTCCTTGCATTCTTTGGCTGTTGGTTACTTGGGATTTTTCTGTTAGATAAATTTTATATGTATCACAAATGTTTATTGAATGCACACATCAGCAGAGATACCTATTATTTTCCAGGCACTGCACTAGGCTCTGGGCTATAAGAACAAGCAAGACATTGGCTGTGTTCTTGGGGCACTTCCTGAGTTGTCTTGAAGACCAAGAAGAAAACAGATTTTAAATTTAGAGTAGAACTTTCACAGAGTGGTGAGACCATCTGATCCTGTTCCTGGGGAGAGTGGGTGGCTAGAGAAAGGGAGGAAGTGGGAGGCATCTGCTTGTGGCTTACTCTGTCAGGGACATGTCTTCCTCATCTCTCTAACCAGGAATGTGCAGACGACACAGTGTGCCAGCAGGAGGCGTGAGAGGTTGAGGTTTAAGGACTATTGATACATTTCATATATATATATTTGTTGTTGTTGTTTACAAGACAACTGCTACAGTAATAAGGCTAATGCTAAAAAAATGTAAGATTTGGTACTTTATAATTCAGGTTCCCTTGAAAATMACTAAGTATTTCTTTTTAAACAAACAAGGACACCAAGACAGGGAATTTTTAAACTCCTAACTGCATGGCTTGGAACTGATGGTCCTGACTCCTRGTCCAGGGCACTTTCTGCCAATCCACCCTGCCTCTTTCTAGCTTGAGATCCTGCCTGGCTGAGGATCCCACMGCCTGGGAGGAGAGTTTATTCAGTTTTACAATGGATGTGGGGCAAAGGCACGTTTCTATAAATACAGCCTGTAGAGGTTCGCTCTGAGCCAAGTGAGTCTATGAGACTCCCTGCTCCAGCTTCCTGTTGGATGAACAATGCAAGCTGAAAGCGACGTTCACAGGGTGCCGTATGTATTTGAGCTCACAGCCCCAAATGGACGCTTTGCCAACCCACATCTGCCGTTGAATGGCCAGATCTCCATGACGTAATAGGTGTGAGATGCAGGAAGATGAGGGGGGCAGGGAGAAGGGACCAGGGTCTTGTCTCCCTCAGCAGGCTTTGCTTGTCTGCTGCAACTTGCAGCCAAGGAAGGGATGTTGAGTCTCTGGGAAATGTTGTGGATGCAGGCCAATGGGATCATTTTCATTTTCTAAGGTTTGGAAGGATCTCTGGCCTTGTGTGGGCCTTCCACTGATTAAGTGAGATAATGTTATATAGTGTCTTTGGCACATGGTAAGTAGCTAATAAATGGTAACTGCTCTAGTAGTAATAATTCTAGGAAAAATGACCATAACAATTACTGCAATAATCAAACAACAGTATTAGAGTAATGATTATTTAATAATCATGACAATAATAAATATAGCTAATTCAGTGGTGTGCAGAGGGGGTACAATGGGGGTGGTTCACACAGTGGGAAAGAATTTAATCACTGACTCATGATAATAAAAAGCAGGCTGTGTGGGAACTTTCTGTACTTTCCCCTCATTTTTGCTATGACCTTTAAACTACTCTAGAAAGTCATCTATTATAATTTTTTTTTAAATAAAGGACAGAGAAGAAAAAGCAAATGATGGTATTGTTTTTGATTCTCCAAGACAATGCACCCCCTTATTGCTTGCACCCAGCAAGGACCCGCTTCCACTAACCAACCCTTGTTATGATGTTATTTTTAAATTGCTGGTTTTGTAGATACTCGAATGAGCAGCATGTTTGCTAGTTGGATGATAGTCCTGTGTGTCATCACGTGGAACTTAATGCCGATGGAACCGTCCCCAAGCACTGCTAGACCTGAAGGTCGTGGCCTCTGTTGCTTTCTGCTGAGATGAACAGCTGCATCACCTCCACTTACTGTGGCTGCAGCTGAGTGGCAAGGCTGTCAACAACCCCAGCCATGAGCCTCTCCACCTCCACACCTAGTGAGATCCGTGGGTCAGGGCAAGTCCTTATTCTTAAATCACCTAGTGGCTGACTTTTTTTTTGTCTAATGAAAAATTCTTTTCTTTGAGTAGGAAAATGCCCAGATAATCAAAGAAGTGGAAGTTGACAAGGTCTCAGTGCTCTGCAGGGACCAGGTGGAAGCCATCAAGCAGCTCTGGCAGGATCCAGGAATCCAGGAGTGTTATGACAGGAGGCGGGAGTACCAGCTGTCAGACTCTGCCAAATAGTGAGTACAGAGCTCCAGCCACAGCTGCCTTGGGGGGGGGGGGAGAGGCCGGCTTTTAGGCAAACACAGTCATGCTTCAGGGGAGCTTCTTGCTGCTTGCTTAAGTGGAAGGGCTCAGTGGCAACACCACCTCCCTCTGTTTTTGTTATCACTCCCTTCTTGGTGTTCTTACCATCCCCTGAAAACCTTCCATCTTTGAGGATCCCCAAATTTCCTTCTTGGCAGAGACCCAATTTTTCCTCACTGTTATGTGTTTAATTTTCAATAAAATGCTCAAATTTGAGGTTCTGTTAGTGGGTGGATCTGATTTGGGGTGTTGAAATGATTTAAGCAAGGAATATACTTGTTTCTGGTTTTTCACTTTTTTCCCTTTCCATATCTCTGTCTTTCTGGTTGCCTGATAAGACAGCAGGTCCAACTGCACGAAAACCTAAAATCAGGGTCCACCGGTGGTAGTCGCTGCTGATCTGGTGCTGCCCTCTCGTGGCAGAGCCAAGTAYTGCTGGGCCCGGCATCCAGAAATCTCAGCTGACTCCAACGACCTACATACCACATTTTGGATAGATAAGCTGTAGTTTTAAATAACTAACTCCCAAAGGTGGAAAAATTTCTGTTTAGACAGTCCTTCATGCAAACCATCTCATAGAGATCTTAGAATCTAACAATTTCCCAAGGAAATGCATCCTTCAGCCAGGTCACTGGGCAAATGGTTTGGTCTTACTTGAATAGGTGGTGAACCTTGCTTTTACAGCTCAGCTTTCTGCCTGTCCCACATCATCATCATGGTGGCCTTGAGATACTTTCCCAAGATCCATCCCTTTTACTTCCTCTTCCCATCCCTTTCCCTTCAGRTGCCATTGCCCTCTAAGCTGATTTGGGTGGGAGTTTGCCCAAAGGGCTGAACGAAGCAGTGTACAGGAAAGGAAATGTTATCTCTGTGGTCAACAGCTTCCCTTTGGAGTCTGTCCTAGGCTGAGTGTTCAGTGTCCTTAATCCAGATGGGCACAACTAATCTAAGTACAGGAACAAAATACCATCAAGGAAGGAAAATAAAAGGAACTCCAATAGGTGTTAGATCAGCAAAGAAAAGAGATGGAGGAAGAAATTGTTCCAAGAAGGAGGTATGGGCTGCCCTGGGCTGCCCTGGACAGCCTGGTGAGCCAGGGACAGCTCAAGGCCAGGTATCCATGGCCTTCCTGATCCTACCTGAGACTGCCTGGTGTTATTTACTCTGTGAAGGACCTGGGAATTGGCAATGGCTCTTGATTATTTGGAGAAGACCCAATAGAACTGCTGGAGAATTCAGTGTAACCCAGAAAACCGAGGCAAGTTCATTGAGAGGGATGGACAGAGATGCCATAGATTAAAAATGGTACTCATAAACATGATGGTTGCCTGATCTTGAGAATCTGCAGGATGCAGGCACCTGTGCACTTCTTTGATCTACATCAGCATCTCACAACCATCTGCTAGTTTTGTCTACTCAAATGGACATGTGTTTACTATTTGATGAATGCTTGTAATGTGCCTGGCACAGTGGTAAGGGTTATAGGGCAATCAATGCCTTCTACTCTCAGGAAAGGTACTGCCTGGTGGAATGAGATATAAATAAAATAATCACACAGCAACGTACAGGATTCCCCCTTATCATGGGGAGTACATTCTAAGAACTCTCCTGTGGATGCCTGAAATTGCAGATTATATTGAACCCTGTGTAGACGCTATTTTTCCTATATGTACCTAACTATGATAAAGTTTCATTTATAAACTAGGCAGGTGAGAAATTAACAACAATAAAATAGAACAATTATTGGGAACATTATTTAGTTAAATCAGTTACCTGAACATCACAGTGATACTGTGACAGTTGATCTAGTAATAGCCAGCTACTAAGCATCTAATAGGTATGTACTATGCCCCAAACCAGAAAAGGGGATGGATGATTCATGTCCACAGCAGGATAGAGTAGGACGACACCAGATTTTATGCTGCTCAGAACAGATTATGACTTAGTTTATGAATTGTTGCTGGGTATGGTGGCACCTGCAGTCACAGCTACTCAGGAAGCTGAGGCAGGAGGATCACTTGAAGCCAGATTGGGCCACATAGTGAGACCTTGTCCCAAACAAACCAAAAGATCCTCATGAGGAATTTCCCATTTGGATCACGAATGACCATGGATAACTGAAACTGTGGACAGTGAAACCTTTAGTAAGGGGAGACCACTGTACTGCTCAGCAAAGACAGTAATAAACCTTGGGCTTGTATCTGGGCATGGGGTGGGCCACAGAAGACTGCCTACTGCCTGGCTTCTTAAACTGAATTTCAGGCTGTCCTGTGAGCCAGGTTGGCCTTGTTCCTGTTGGTTTACTTTCATGCTGACCTGCTCAGTCTCTGGCATCCATGCTGTGCTGGGCATTTTTCTCCCTTCTCTAAAAGGAGTCTTGGCTTCTCATTTGTTCACATCACAGTTACCTGACTGACATTGACCGAATCGCCATGCCATCGTTTGTGCCAACACAGCAAGATGTGCTTCGTGTCCGAGTGCCCACCACAGGCATCATTGAGTATCCATTYGACTTGGAAAACATCATTTTTCGGTAAGTTTGTCTTCTGGGCGTGCTCATTTAAGAATCTGTCTGCCCAAGGCCTAAATGTGTTATCCCTAAGTAGGGGTTACTTGTGATAGGCAGAATGACCCTCTTGGTCCCAAGGCATGTACGATTGTGGTAGGTTTCAAGTTCTAGAATTGAGAGGGACTCCATTTTGCCCTTAGGAAAGAAATTTCTTTCTGGGAACTGGAATCATCTTATGTGTAACATGCATACAGATATATATATGTCACCTACATACTGAATATACTGACTCTTGATGTCTTTTTCCTAATGTTGGATAATATTTCTCTTTTTCTCTATTTCTTTATGATTTACCCTTAAAAAAAGAGAAAAATAAGAATACAAAAATTTATAGTAAAATTACCTCAGATATGGATAAACTGCTTACAGCTGTGTAAATGTATGAATTTCCACTACAAATGTAGGATGTACTTTTATGACAAATTGGGTAGGTCTTCACTGATTTAATTATGGGAAAATGAATAATAATGTGGGGGCATATACACAGCACTGCAAATTTCAAAGCACTTTTGCATTTATTTCCCTTGTTCCTCCCAAGAATTATTATTACACATACTTCTTCAGGCCCAGTTCTCCCATATCCAGATCCTATATTATCTACAGTTATATCTCAGTGTTTCTTCTGAACCGTAGTGCTGGGGAGGCACTCAGAAGAGATCCTGTGTATTTGTTAGCAGATCCCTGATTTTAATGGCCGCCACTGTGTGTCCATATTTAAACCTTTTGAGAACCAAAGGTTGCTTGCAACTCCCAAACCTTCTCAGAGTGAGGGCCTCCCAAGGCTTGCATTTTTTTTAAAGAAATGTATTCTAAGTATCTGCCTCATGCTTTGATAAATAGGTTTGCCTTGTTTCCTAGAGACTGATAAGTAGGTTTAACATCATCCACCAGTGACATCTCTTATTTTATAGCTCTACACCTCCTCCTGCTCACCCTCTGGCTGAAGAATTCTGATCATTGAGATTAAAGTCTTTAGAGAATGACCTTATGGAACCCAAGCTTTTGACAATTGCAGTGTTCCTTCCCAGCTCCATTCCTTGCTGTGTGGTGGGACGAGGTGGGACAGCCAGCCGTGAGCACAGCATTGTAAAGTGTCTGCACCTGCAGGGTTAGATTTCTGGCCTTCTCCAGCACCTTTCTAGACAATAGTTATGGAACAGAATATGTGGGCTGTATCTGACCCACAGATGTATTCTCTTTGCTGTTCAGTAGTATAAAAACAAATCTGAGCTAACATTCAAAAATTGGGATGTTTCACCTAAAACAGTTGATGTCAAAGTTCTCTTTAAACATCCAAGGCCCTGGTAATGGTGAGCTTGCGCTCTGTCCAGCAGTGTTTAACTGCTGATATAGCAACCATCCCTTCGGACAGAGCCCCTACCTCTCAAGCATATAAGCTTTTCCACTCTGCAGCTTTTCCATTTGACTCACGAACTGCCTGACCCCTGGGCCTTTCAAGTCTGTGATCTTTGGGCTATTAGTCCCTGAAATCTCACCCAAAGACACAGGTAAAGRCTTTGGATTTCCATACCAGGCAGAGAGCACTTGCAGGTATTTGTAGGGAAGAAGGGGTGGCATAGAGTTAATGCAAGGATTTGTGGATAAATTAGAGAAACTCTGAAATCAAGATTGGGCCCAAAGAAGGCTGAAGGGACCTGGAAGATTGTTTGACTCTGTTCCTTTTGTGTCTGCTATCCTTTGACTCTACAGTGGGTGGTTGGATTCAAACCCAAGTGAAATTTGTGTTTTCTTCCTGAACTATTGCAGCAGGATCCTAATCAGTGTCCTCAGGAAGGTTCCTCTGWATGCCATCTGAGTCACCTCTGTCTTCAGAAACTTCATTTACATTTTTGGCCTCCTGCGCTTAGAAACATTCAGTGGTCCCTCATTGCCTAAAACAGTGGTGCTCAAACGTGTTAAACTTAGGATTCCTTTGCACTCTGAAAAATTGAGGATTCTATAGAGATCACTGATTCCATGGTATAGCGACTTGCATCCTTTCCTCCAAAGTGATGTATTCCAACCTTTGTGTCTTCTGTCTGTATTGAGCAGGATGGTGGATGTTGGTGGCCAGCGATCTGAACGACGGAAATGGATCCATTGCTTCGAGAGTGTCACTTCCATCATTTTCTTGGTTGCTCTGAGTGAATATGACCAGGTCCTGGCTGAGTGTGACAATGAGGTATTTTGCAAGGGGAGGTTAGGTAGCAGAGAACTTTTCTGTTTTTTCCAAGTAGGTCAAGTAATAGATTCTTCCTTGGGCTACACAGTCTTGCCACTCAAAGTACAATCGATGCACTAACAGCTCAGGCAATACTGAGATGCTTGTTAGAAACGCAAACTATTAAATTATTCCAGGGTGACTGAGTCAGAGTCTGCATTTTTTTAACAAGGTCCTAGGTGATTTTAACAGTCATGTGTCACTTAATAACAAGGATGAATTCTGAGAAATCGGTTGTTATGTAGTTTCATCCTCATGTCAACATCAGAGAATGTATGTACATAAACCTAGACTGTATGCAGCTTGTGACATACCCAGGTTGCACACCTGCTCCTAGGCTACACCACTGTACAGCATGTTGCTATATTTAATACTAAAGGCAACTGCAATACAACATCAATTACTTATGTATCTAAACATATTAAATACATAGAAGTAACAGTAAAAATACCAGACACTGGGGACCATCATCATTTATGGTGGTTGTTAGCCAAATGGTTATTTTGCAACACAAGACTGTACATATGAAAGGTTGAGAATCACTGGCCATGACCTGGTTCTCAAATTTGCCAGCACACTATAGAGTTTCCTGAGGAACTTCAAAGAAAAATTTGGTGCCTGGGTCTAACTTAATGGGTGATAAATGTGGCTTGAGCATGGGATTTTTTTTTTCCCCCTCAAGTTCCCTAGGTGAAACCATGTGCTGTGAAGGGTGGAAGTCACTCAGAATCAGAGGTTCGCAACATATTGGAATCCCCAGGGGAGCTTTTAAAACCATGGTCTTGCTTTACTGGGTTCAGGTGGGGCTTTCTTTTTCAAGTTCCCCAGGGATCCTAAAGCACAGCCAAATTTGAGCAATACTCTTTGTAATAAAATTTATCTGAGCACAAAATTCCCAACCTCTACAGGCCATGGCACTCCCAAATTAGGTYCCTATCTTAACTGGCATGGACAGCAGCACCAGATGCTTGGAGTTGTTCTGGGRTTGCCTGGGATTATGTCTGCCCTTCACTTCCCCCAGGAGGCACTTGTTCAAGGCAGCTATAGCTGACTCAGCCAAGTCAGGCACTCTGTCCCCTGCTGGTTGGTTCCAGTTCCATTAGCTAGATCTGCCCAAGTGATAACATTTCCAGTCATTTCTTTGTGAGGTGATGGGTATTTTCTGTGGGATGCTAATGTCCTCCTCATTTTCTTTTCTCCTGAACTTGTGCAAGCCTTCTTAACCTCTTRGAAAAAAATGTCTCTGTTTCCAGGACATGAAAGTAAATCAATAAAGAACTGTGTCCAGGATTAGGTAATAACTATGAACAACTCATATCTTATATTTCTTGAGAGCAGACTTTCTGAGGAGCACTACTACATTAGCTAATTAGTGGAGGGCTTAACCCATTTACTTGTGTCATTGTGCAAATAGAAATACTGGCTGCAGCCCAGCTCCACTTTTTTTYCCCTCCTTTTTAAAGCAGGCATCCACTTAGCAATATATAAAAAAAATTATCTCCATATTTGTCTTGGGAATAATTTGTGATATTTCCCAGTAAAACAAAGATTAGACAGGGGCACAAGGGGCTAGTAACTCAGCCTGATGTGCTTAGAAACTAAACATTTTCCCCTAAGAATCACAAGGTATTTGGAGAAAAAACTTAAGTGGTTGCTATGCCAGACCTTTCCTGCCTGGTTGTAGATATCCACTTACTATGCTGAAAGAATTTTTTTGAATATATTATTTCCTTGGATGTTATTATTAATAAAATCATAAGAAATTTTAAAGAAGCTTTAGAAAGAGGTGAGGGGTTACCTGTCTATTAATATGTTCCAGATCTTAATGCCTCCAAATGCACTGAATGGGAGAATGAGCCCTGGTGTCTGGGAGTTGTAGGGAAGTAAGAGTTAAAGCATGTCCCTCTGGTGGTCATGCGTGGAGCTGGGATGTTTTTCCTTCGGGCCACCTCTCTCTCTAAACAGAGGTTCTTGTTTCTTTCATCTTAGAAATACTTCTAAGAATGCTATCTAAAACAATTATTGTCATCAGATATATTTCTATGTGCACTGTCTGCTCTCCGCAAATTTAGAGCATTTAACATACTCTTGCCATGTATAGAAATTATTACTGTTTTTTGTATATAGTCTTCACCAGATCCCACTATTACATGGGCTTGGTAAAGGGACTTAAATTTTCTGAACAATATTCTCATTATTATTATTATTATTATTATTTTAGAGAGAGAGGGAGGAAGGGAGGGAGGGAGAGAGACTTTTTTAATATTTATTTTTTAGTTTTCGGTGGACACAACATCTTTATTTTATTTTTTTATTTTTATGTGGTACTGAGGATCAAACCCAGCGCCCCACGCATGCCAGGCAAGCACGCTGCCGCTTGAGCCACATCCCCAGCCCCTCATCTTTTAAATGGGGGCACTGTTCTGCTTGTAGAGCATGGCAGAGGACAGGTGCTAAGCAGCACTGGTTCCCTTCTTGGCCAGCATCTAGCATTCCTAGGGGCATGATCTTGCTGGAAAAACCTTTCTTCCTCCTATGTCACGTGACTCTCGAGGAACAATCTGGAAGCCCATATCCAGCTGAGTGGCTGTCTCAGGTATAAAAGCTAGTACTTCTCCACTTGTTAATCCCAACAATTATACAACATGGAAAATTTTTGCCAAATATAGACATAAACCTTCCTGTTCTAAGTTGCACAAAAGTTTTTATTTCCTTACATGTTAGTTTTGGTCTAGAGAAGATCTGGGGTGCTCCAGAGAGAAGGGATAAATAGAAGCACAGGATATAGTATCCTGTGCTCACCAACTTCAATAAGAGCAGGAACCCAGAGCCTGCAGCAGGGTAAAGAGGACTGATGGATGCCTTAGCCACTTGGCATGTTGTTTCCAAAATATTGCCTTTTTTTCCCCCCCAGTTTATCCTAAGTCACTTCTTTCTCACTTAGAATCGCATGGAAGAGAGCAAAGCCTTGTTTAAAACCATCATCACCTACCCCTGGTTTTTGAATTCATCTGTGATTTTGTTTTTAAACAAGAAGGATCTTTTGGAAGAGAAAATCATGTACTCTCATCTAATTAGCTATTTCCCAGAATACACAGGTAAGTGTTCATCTTGGGGATAATGCTTCTGTGTTGATCTTGTCAGCCTCCCAGGCATCAATTCTGAATTCTCAGCATAGCTTACAGGGGTTACCCTGATTTGCCCAAAACAGCCTCTCTGCCTCCTCACCTTTGAAAGGAAGCTCTCATTGGACTCTTGTGTGTTTCCCCCTTAGCACCTCCACACAGGCCACTCCAGCGCCTGGAATACACTTTTGACAACGCCTTTTGCTGGCTCCTCTTGGCTCTCCAGGACCCAGTTTATGCTTCTCTACTGGGAAGCCTTTCTGACCTTTCCTTGAACAAGCAAGGGCTTGCATAAGTGTGCCACCTCCTTGGTGTTGCACTGGCTCCTCTTGCTCCTTTGGCTGTCATCTGGTTGTGTAGCATTGTCCCCTCACTTGCTCAGCTCTCTCCCTGCTCAGCTACTTAATTTATCTTTGCCCAGTCAGAACCAGTCAGAGCAGCTGGTGCTTCATAGGTTAGGGGGTGGCATCCCCTTTCCCAGACACAGGCAATCAGCCCTTTATGTATACACCTATTCAAAGCAGGAGAGTTTTTTGCCCTGTTGTGAATTATTCCTATAATTCTCAGATATTACTGTTTGACACTGAGGGTTGGTGTCTCGTCACTCTTTTTTTCCTTTTATTAGCCGCACTGGTTGTTAAATATAGAGCCCTTAAGCTTTCTAGCCTCTAATTTTGAATTCCTTTGCTCTTTCCTCTAGTCTACATCTGTGAAAGATAATAAGAATTATCTTTGTTCAAAAGTGGTCCAAATCAAAAAACTAAATTGGGCCACTATTTTAAACAAATGATCTTAAAGTACAATTTTTAGATAACAGTGAACACACTGTGCAATGCTATTATATGCACTCATAATGATATAATAAAAATAATGCTCCAGGTAAACTGTTCCCTAGGAATAAAGTAAGGTAGACCAAAGAAGGACCCCAAATAAGAACAAGAGTATATTCAAAGTGGTTCTTGGAAGATTAGTGGAGTAGAAAGGGGAATGAAGGGAGACATAGGATAGGGAAAGACAGTAGAATGAATCTGACCTAACTTCCCTATATACATGTATGAATGTACTACAGTGAATCTCACCATCATATACATCCACAGAAACAAACAAAAAAGCTCAGCACAGTGGTGCACACCTGTAATCTCAGTGGCTCAGGAGCCTGAGGCAGGAGAATTGCAAGTTCAAAGACAGCCTCAGCAATTTATTGAGGACCTAAGAAACTTAATGAGACCCTGTCTCAAAATAAAAAGGGCTGGGGATATGGCTCAGTGGTTAAGCACCMCTGGGTTCAATCCTCTAATACAAAACAAAACCAAAAACAATCCCAAAAAACAGCAACAAAAAATACCCATAAAACTGTAAGTAAATAGCAKMAAGATCAGTAGAGTAGAGGGAAGGGAATGGGGTAGGGGGGTGAGGTGGGGAGTGGGTGGGCAGAGAGAAAGGAAAAGGGGAAGTACTGGGAACTAAATTATGAATTAGAACAAATTATATTCCATGCTTTATGTCAAAATGAATCCTAATGTTATATATAACTAAAAAGAACCAATTWAAAAAAAAAAAGTTCTTGGTTCTTGGGAGGATGTGGTAGTAAGTCTATATATTTTTCTTCTTCTAATTGCACTCGCAAATAGGACCAAAGCAGGATGTCAAAGCTGCCAGAGACTTTATTCTGAAGCTTTATCAAGACCAGAATCCTGACAAAGAAAAAGTCATCTATTCCCACTTCACATGTGCTACAGATACAGAGAATATCCGTTTTGTGTTTGCTGCTGTCAAAGACACAATTCTGCAACTAAATCTAAGGGAATTCAACTTAGTTTAAAAGCTACTGCCCATTTCTTCCTCACAACAAAAGACAGGATTTGCAGGCTCCTTCTGTTTAATTTGCAAATGCTTCTGGCATCCCCTGGACCAAGACCCTGTGGCAGGCACCAAGAACATTCTGTAGACAACAGGGACAGAGATGGGTAATAGAATTTGGAAGGTGTTTGAGTTTATCAAACCTCTCAAAAGAGTCTTTATTCCCAGATTGTTTTTGTAGTTCTTTTCTTGCCTCTTACATTTTGTGTAATTTTTGAATTTGGTATTTTAAAGAATTTTAAATGGCCAYTGTGATTTACTGTTTTCTTTCAAAAATTAAGTTTCAAAATGTTTAATGATAGACATTAAAAATCATATACAAGGGCTGGGGTAGTGGCTCAGTGGTAGAGTGCTTGCCTAATGAATGAGAGGCCCTGGGTTCGATCCTCAGCACCACATATAAATAAATAAAATAAAGGTATTAAAAAAATATCACATACAGAGGGGCCTGTTAATAGATTGTCTTCAGACCTCTAGGATTAATTTGGGTGACCTTTAACAAGTGTTAATGGGTTTGATGCTTTTTATTAAATCTTGTAATTTAGAGAAATTTCTAATTTTGAGTGTTTTTCTCTCCTTATGCTGGAATTATGACTCCTTTAACAACATGTCACCAAAGATTTTCTCTTTTTAAAAAAGATGATTCTTTTTGTGTCAACTTTCTAAGTCGGATTAATGGATATATCAGTATATCTAATTTAGTTTAGTCATAACTTGGTCACCATGACACTAAAGTTGACATTTGAAAAATGGATTCCAGACAGTATATATGCTGTATTGGTGAAAAATGTGTATATACATATGTATGTATATATATATATAAGATTGAGATTATATATATATATATATATATATATATATATATATATATATATATAATCTAATGCATATGGCCAGGTCTTATAAACTTATGAAATGGCTAAACGTGCAATTGTTTAACAAATGTTATGTAACCTCTGCCAAAGTTCTGATGGTCATTACAGATTTGCTGCTTGAACTATGTATGCTGTGCCTTTGTGAGGAGGCTGAGAATATAATATTCTACCGCTAGTACTGATTACCTTGTGTTTATTAAGAGCACACAGTTGGTTGATGGTTCTCCTAAAGAGAAAAATGACGTAGATTTAATAGTAATTCAGAAACTACTAAGTTTCTTCCTTTTGAAATTAAAAAATCTGCATTCATCATGTTATGCTGGAGTTCCCTTAGTAGCTAGCTTAGTAAAGTAGATGCAGAATTCTCTATAAGTACAGAGTGCATCAAACTAAAGGCCCACAATGGTTTTATTTGAATTTTTCATCTGAAGGTGTTCACATAAGCTCAACACTTTGGGATTTAAGGTGTGATATGTCTATTGCAAATTAACGTACAGATGGTCTCCAACTTAGGATGACTTGACTTGATGATGATGATGATGTGAAAGCTGTACATTCAGTGGAAATCTTTGATTTTGATCTGATCTTAGGCCAACAATGCATGGAAGATGCAATGACAGGCAACTCCCATTCAGCCACAGGATAGGGAGAGAGGAGGACAACAGCAATTTTATCCCATAGTGCATTGTGTTGCTAGGCTATGATGAAACATAGGTTCAGTGTACTAGAGGCGACCTGCATAGACTATGATCTTATTAATTAAACAGCTAAGGAGGTGGGACATTATTATTAGTACTGGAAGGGCCAAGTCCCTTGCCCTGGGCCAGATCTAATATTTTTAACTTAGCATAGTTTACAGAAGTTGTACATACAAGGTAAACCCAGATTGGTTACATATGTTATAAAACTATGTGTCAGTATTCCCACAGCTGTCCTAAACCTTCCTTTTAGCCACTTATTGGACTGTGAAGTTCTCATTTCTGTTGGAACAATTCTAAGTGTGAAGCTATTAGGACATCCATGCTGGAAAAGACTGAGATTTTTCTACCATAGCAACATTAAGCCTTCAAAACTAATCCTTAAGAGATAAAGAACTTGATACACATATTAAAATTTATCTGAAACAATAAAGGTCCAGGAACAGTCAAGGCAATTTTGCACAAGAGAACAATGAGATGTGGAATGGTTCAAAATATTTAGAAACATAAATAAAAAGACAATGTCTTTATTCCCTGCAACAAGCAGTGGGCTAAAGGTTATGAACTGGGTACAACTGGACAATTAACATGAAAAGGGCTCAAAAGACTCAGTAATTAAGGAAATTAAACAATGTGGAATTTTGTTTTTTACTTCAAGTATTTTCTAGTATTTAGTTCAAGTTATTGTTAATTGATCTCCGGCTGACACTTAAAAGCATATAAGAAAACAATGGCTTTCAATTACTAGTACAGTAGGGCTGTGGAATAAATCCAAGGATGGTAACAAAATATTTTCTTAAGTCATGGAAAGGCTGAACTCTCACTGATGGTAAGGTGAATTACTCACCTCTGCCAATACTGATTCTACTCATAGAAAATTCTCCCTTAGCCCTTCTTTTAAAACATATTAATCACTTACTGAGAAAATTATCCATCTGAAGTTTTCTAAAGGTTGAGAGGCACAGTGCTGGTGGCTGAGAGTTCACCAGGTACAACTATTCAAGCCTTTTTGGTGAACAGTGATCATGCTGGGCTGGAATTCTTTCTGCTTTTACTGAAAAATCATGCTTGTTCTCTTGGGGGACCTTTATTTAGGACTCACAGAAGGTAGAATTCAGATAGGCAAGGAAAGGCTACTGATAGAGTTTCTAGTTCTAGTCAATAATTAAAAACCAAAGTACACTAAAGAATTAGAAGGTGTTATTGTACTCAGTTTATTTGAAAAAGATACACATGGTTAAACTGGGCACTCATCTTKATCATGCAATCCAAATCTACCAGTACCAAGAAATACTGTTCAGAGAGAAGTCATTAGTGAGGATGGCCAACCCAATTAGGGGAGCAAAAACAAAAAGACGAAGGTTGGTTTCAAGACTATGAATTTCACTGTAAATATTGAGGTTTATAGATTGTCTTATCAAAATAAACTAAAGCAGAGGTTGTGTAACAGACAACTGGGCTGAGCCCACTTATAAAAGGAACAAGAAACATTGCAGTGATGCAGGAACTATCATAGCCAATAGCAATCAAAGAATAAGCATTACAAAGATGTGAGACTATTTGGTCAATATACAAAGTAGCAAGAAAATGTATTTTTAAAGTGTACCTTCCCTGAAAACTTCATTATTAAGTTTAATACAGTTACATAAAGAGATGATAATAACTTTAAAAAGTTTACAAAAACCTATCTTACCTTGTAACAAGTCCTAGATATCATTTCTAATAGTTTGTGGGTTACATGAGTATAATCATTGATATTGACAATATTTCAATGTAACCTATACCATATTGTTATTTGAATGTTTTTCAGTGCAAGAATTGGGAACTTTTTGGTAACCAAAAACTGGAGGTATCATGGCATAACAAGAAATGTTGAGGTTTTAAACATGTTCTCCTTTAAGTAAACTTCTAATTATTACACACTTTATTATACCAGACTCACAGGATTTCTTGTTACAAGAATGTCATAAAAGGAACACATCATTAATATATCAGCAATATGAAATGAATTRTGTTCATGACAGAGATTTTCAATCAAAGCAGTTTGATACCTATCACAGTAGGTGATAAACTATTTTACAAATTAATTTACATTTGTATACAGTAATAAAATGTAAAAAATATATCTACCTATAAAAATTGAAATTGTATTTCTTGCATAGCTCTTTGGGTAACCAAAATTATGTGTATTTTTAAAAGCCATATGCTTTAAAAAAAACTAGAACTAATCCATAATTTTAAAGTACATTTTTAAAGTGACATGGGCCAATTTATTTTACAAAAGAGGAAATAAAGTAGAAAAGTTTCAATTAGATGCAAATGAGATTCGTAATAGAGCAGGATGCAGCAAGGTGCTAGCCTTGCTTAAGCACAGTTCTAAAACAAACACCACTTTAACCAAAGAAAAGTGTGGGGGCGGGGGTGGGAATTAAGAGTTGTACTAATGGGTATATTGGCCATTATAACTAAAAATACAGATCATAAGAATCATGAAATTTTAGCCAGCTAGCACTACCTTTACTGGGTTAGCATAAACCATAAGATGCAACTTCAAAAGGATGTTTAAAGGATTAGGCAAAGGTAAAATGGGTTCCTTTATAGAGTAAAGGAGCTATTTGTGATACTGCATAGCACCAAAGGATATCAGGTTGACTAAGTTGTGCATTGAGTCTGGTATAAGGAATGCAAGTTGTCTACACTTTCTTAAAGAAATGGGAAAATCCATTATTTAAAAAAATTTTGTAAGTTGTAAAATGCTATGCTAAAGACTCCTTATCAGTGATCTTTTAATATTCTTACTTTCCTTTAGTTAAAATGAGTGACATTTGGACAGTACCCCCCAGCAAATGAATATTTTGGGCCTACAAGAAAGTGACATATATATTCCCCATTTTTACGGGCTTTTGCCACCTGTTATGGTAAATCAGCCAGAAGGTAGATGGAACAAATTCAACTTACTCAAAAGGAAAACTTTTGTCCCCAATTATAGTAAAATGCTTAGTGATTAGGAGGTTGAAATATACCTAAGTAAATGATAGCCATGGTCTTTGGGTGCCATTTGTAGATCTAATTTTTTCATGCATTTTTTTCTGGTCTCACTGAATCACAGTGAGGGTCACATGCTAGCAAAGAAAAACGTTTTATAAGCCTAAGTGAGAACTATCCTGTCTTCTCATTCTAAGGATAGTGCTTACAATCTGAAGGGCTCTTGAGTTGTGGATCTACACTATGCTTTATCTAACAGGCATTACACAATCTAGACTGTTCAAACTTTTTAAAAAAAAAAAACTATACAGTTGGCAATCGGAGCTCACACCTGATATTGTGACCTAGTACATACAGTATGTAGAAGATTTAACCGAAATGGTATTTCAGGAAACAGCAATCTCCCAAGACACTGCTAACATTAGGAAAGAAGCAACATATATATGCCCTCCCTTTAAAAGGGAAGCCATTGGAGAAGTATACACTGTAATTCAGGGAAGAAGATTCTGCATTCTGTGTGTGAAAAAACATAATACTACTGTAAATTGTAAAGTATTATGCTAAATACTCCCTTTTTAGTGATCTATTAATGTTCTTCTTATTCTTTTTTGTTCAGATGAACATAATCTTATAAAACAACTGATAAACTACAGACAGAGGAAGTGATGTGTAGATGAAGAGATTTTTCTAGGTTCTCATTAGAAGGAAAACAGGAGAGATAGGTACATTGGCTTTACAATGTATACTAGTTACAAATCCATTCCTCCTGTTTGCCAGAGGATACCAGAAGAATTTCTATGCTTACTATTTTACCCTTTTTCTTCACCATAGAATACCTACAGAATTAAGGGGTCTATACCTTTTCTGAATGCTGAAACTGGAGCAATGAGTTTTTGGACTAATGGCATTAAACAGAACTCAAGTAAAGCAACATTCCAAATGGAGACAATCTAAATCAAGCTTTCAGACTACCTCTACTTTTTAATTTGGATATATGCAAAACTGGAGGAGCTCAGCAACAGTGAATATAAGTACATTACTTTGAACAAAGATCACCATGGGGACACACACCACCATGTGGTTTAAAATTTGTCATCTTCTTTCTATTCAGTTTATCTTTGGCAAAGGAAAAAGCATTTTGGGTGAAACTACTGATAATAAACAATGAGTTTTTGTAATCAGAGAAATCAATAGTATTTAGTAGGATCTGGTCAGCAAGAAATACAATTACTATCTTGCAAGCTGTTTATTTCAGCTTTTACAACAATGCAAGGGTTTGAAAAGCCTGAGGAGAATTTCACAACCATTGACTATATAGAGTCTTCAGTTTCAAAAACAGTTGATAATAATTTGATGGCACAAACAACATGCATCAAATACTCTATATTATTCAATAACAATTTAATTAAGATACTACACTATTCTGTTCATAATTCACAATCACATATTTATCCTCCTTCACTTGAAATAGTCCATGAATATTAAGGTGCAAAGATCTTGGACAAAAACCAAGAAAAAAAATCCCTCAGCCTCTGCCCCTCGGCCCCTTTTTAACTGAAGAAGTAATTTTTACTTGAATAATTAGAGAAAGCAAATAAGAAATTCTTAATCTATGGCCAAAAGATAACTAGGTTAGATTTTAGGGCACATTGTATCCAAGATTTGGAAATTTTATTGTTATCAGTAAATAGAAAATAGGTATATTTAAGGCTTTAGGAATTTTCCTTTGAGATCTGTCTCTTAAAAACATTATCTGGGTAAATCAAGTAGCTATCAAGGAGTTGATTTGAAGTTTCCTAAGGCTCTAAAGTCTGGGAGAGACTTTCCTTTTCTGGGTATGATATTAATTTCTTCAAGCCTTTCTTAAAGCGAGGCTTGAAGGGATATTATTTAATCTACGTTCAATCTCAAGAGACTGTTTTTCATGATCATGCTATGCAGTTTAAGTATAATTTAAACCTATGCTTTAAAAAAGAAGGGAAATAATGCCAAAATATTAATTTGTAAAAAGAAATGACTTTATGATTCTGAAGAAATCACCACCMCAGTTCTCTTGATTCCACTAAAGCAATATCTGATTTGATAATATATCCATCACTCCATGAGTTTGAGGTAAATGTGATTGAAATTTAAAATGTAAACTAAAGGCTTCACCCCATGTGAAGACCAGCTACAGGCAACTTCTCTACCACAACAGAGAATAACCTGGAGCAAATATTTCTTGATTCATGGTAGAAAATTGAATGGTTCTCTGAAGAGATGAATTTTAATCACATAGATGTTTTACCTGATTTTTAAAAATCATCTAGAATACAGTATACTCAAAATCACTCCTATAACACGCTTCCCCATCAGGTGTTAGGAAGTAACAGTATGGATGCTGTAGTAATGGATTGCTGTGTCTTCAGGCAGGGTTATCCCTCAGAGGCTTGGAGAAGGTTCTCTTGCTTCTTCTAGCTTTGTGAGGATCCACTGTTGTGGAGGAAAAAACATTTACTTATTTCAATGAACTTACAATGACACAAAATGTTAATAGATGGAAACCTAGAAGTCAGCTTTCCAGTTTAGTTAGGCATACATTGATAGCTGATACACAACATTCATACTGCAGAAGTGATCACTCAAATAGCTCATATGATTCAGGGACAATGTTACTGCGTTTAACAGTAGGAATAATGTTTTTCCAAGGTCTCTGCACTTGGAAGTTCATCCTCACAATAARTAAAATCAACCATCCTGAGGGATAAGGGTAATTTGGCAGTTACACTGAATACATGACATTCTAAAAATTATTTATGTAAAATTCCTTCCAACCTGCGTCAGTTCTTTACTGAACAGGATAATTACATACAATTCTACTGTGGGTAGTAGCATAATAATATCCTCAAGCAGTTTTGATGTTCTCTTAATGTATTTTCTATTCTGAAAGGATTTGAAATCATAAAAATGAAGTGTAATACAAACCTTTCTACCTATATTGTTCATTATTATTGGGTCAGGACAGGTGAAAGTCGTAACAGTTAATATGGGGTCACCTCGTTATAAAAAGGTTTAGGAGATGGCATCTGAGTAAGATTCTCTGGCCTGTGGTCTACCCACATATAGACCAAATTGAACAGCCAGTCACAGGCCAATCACAAGTAGTTAAGAAATCAGTTAAGAAACTATAGTGCCCATTTTTAGTATAACAAGATAAAAAAYGGTGTTGAAGAAAGTAAAAGGTATATGTTCCCACATACTTCCCATAACTCCATACAGTACAGATTTGGAGGGACACCTCCCACTTTGGGGAGGGAGAGAGAATTAAATCCAGGCCTTAGATGTGAAACTTAGGACAAGGGCCACCATAGTGAAAAATCACAACCCCTACAATGCCAAGTCAATGCCCCTGCAATGAGTGGCTGGAACTGTAAGTCAGATGAATTACTGCAATCTCACCCTCCTCCAACCTTGAGTAACAGAGCATGGAACAAGACTCTACCTGCTGGAGAGTGGTACACAAGTTAGTACAGGGCTTTGCTTTAAAGCCCAGTGTCAGGCCTGCCATGGTGAGCACTAGCACATGGTAGAAATTAAAGGACCATACATAGGCCAGAACTCACAGGTGGAACCACTGGACCAGCCCCCAAATCAAGAGATGTTTGTGCCAGCAGGACAGACTCAAGTTTTGGCCTACATCATTTCCAATTTTACAGGGGCCTAAGGGCATACCTCCCTCTTCCTGAGACTCTGCAAGCCCCTAAAGCTCTAAGACTCAGGCATTACTAACATCAGCCTTGGTGGCTAAGGGACTGCATTCCCCAATAATACCACAATCTCAGGCAGCATAATATGGTGCAACATCCCCTTTGCTGGGGTAGGACAGAGTAGTAAGCACAAGACTCTCCTTTGGAATTTGGTAAAACCTAACATCAGCTAGTTGTTATGGTCCCCAACATCCCATCTGTAAATGGAGCCTCTGGAACAGTTCAGTGTCTGGGGAAGTCACATAATCTAACTCTATCAGGCTGTTTTTCCAGCTAGCATCACCTATCACTGGTTACAGTGGTCTTGGGCTACAATTCCACCTCAGCAATAGGCATCTTGTAGCAGCAGTGTGGACCCTRGTCCTACCCCAGTGTTGGTGCTGGTCTAGGGCTATGGGCTCAGGGGTATAGCACTGTTTGGCAGCACTGGTGGCCTGCTCAATCCACAAATACTCAGCCCAGAGGCAGGTTGAGTCCTGCAGTACCTGACCAAAGGCTGCTAACTGTGGACAAGGCATCCAGCCCTACACTAGGCAGTGGTTTGTAGGGATGGACAGTTCTTCGTAGATATCTTCTGGTTCCTTCTGAAAAACACACCAACAGTGTATTTGGGACAAACCTGGGCTTGGATTGCCCTCTTGTACTGAAATGGTGGCAATTGGCAATAGGAGACTCCTAGCAAATCTGGTGCCATCTAGTACTGAAATAGTGGAAGGCTAAGATAAGCAGCAGGTTTAGAATTTCTGGAAAATAGACCCAWAGGCACACTAAGGAAAACTGGGATAAATATCTAATTCTTCAATGTCTTGATGACATCACATGCCAAGCATAAAGAGCTGTCAGGAAATCATGACCTCACCGAATTAGGTGAGAAAATATGAAGAAACATTTCAGTTCTCTAACAGAGAAATTCAACCAGGAGATGAAAGCTATTAAAAATCAATTTCTTAAGCTGAAAAGTACACTAATTTTAAAATGAAAAATGTGATAGAAGACATCAATTGTAGGACAGCTCACACAGAAATTAGTGAGTGAGAAGAGAAACTATCTGAAACTATACAGTTGGAGAAGAAAAAAGAAAAAAAGGAAAAGGAACAAAAATACTTATGGAAATTTTGAGATTGTATTAAAAAATATTCATGTTACTTGGGATCAAGAAGGACTGGACAATGCCAAAGAAGTAGAAACATGTTAAAAAAAAAAAAAACAGAAAACTTCCCAAACCTAGAGAAAGATAGAAATATACAGGCACAGGAAGGTCAAAAATCACCAAATTTAATTAAACCAAATCTATACCAAGATATTTTATAATCAGGCTGTCAAAAAAAAAAAAAAAAGAGAGAAGATTCTCAAGTCTGCAAGAAAAAGAAACAGCACAAAAGGTGTACCAATTTGCCTAACAACAGACTTCACAGCAGAAACTTTACCAGCAGGAGAGTGATATGAGATTATCACAGTACTGAAAGACAAAAATTGAATCAAGGATACTATGTGCAGCAGAGCTATCCTTTATAAATGCAGAGAGTAATACAATCCCAGACAAACAAAAGCTGAGAGAATCTATCTCTATCAGGTCTATTCTATAGGAAATGTTGAAGAACATTCTTCAAACTGAGAGAGATATTAATAAGAATATGGGACTGCATAAGCATGTAAACAAATTCAGAATGCTTTAATATTGCAATCATGTATCATTCATATGTTTAGTATGAAGGCTAAAAACAAAACAATTAAAATAATAACTATATTAATCTATTAAAAGGCAACATAGAAAGATATAAAATGGATATACAAAATTCAAAATGCAGGGAAAATGGAGGACACTTGTAGAATTTTCTTATTAGTATATTTTCTCTTGTCCTTTATGTTGTTAYCTTTACAATCATAAGTTGCTAWMATTTCAAAATAGTTTTTTCATAACCAAAAGATAGTTTTGTAAGCCTCATGGTAACCACAATACAAAAATCTATAATGGACAAACCAAAATAATAAGGAATCAAAACATGACTCGAGTAAATCACTTAACCATAAAGGAAGACTGCAAGAAAGGGAAAAGAAGGGAATTATAACAAAACTAGAAAAAAAGTTTTCATAGTAAGACCTTTTCAATAATTTCCTTGAATGATGAATGAATTAAATTCTCCAATTAAAAGACACAGAGTGAGTGAGTGGATTGAAAAAAATAAGGCCCAACAAATATGTTGCTAATAAGCAACTCACTTCATCTCTAAGGACACACACACTGAAAAAGAAGGGCTAGAATAAGATATTCCATACAAATTGAATCTAAAAGAAAGCAGGAATAGCCACACTTGTATTAGACAAAATATACCTTCAATCAAAGAGACAAGGAAGGTTATTATATAATTATAAAGGAAAAGGAGGAAATAACAATTCTAAATACAGCACCAAAATATATAAAGCAAATATTAACAGATCTAAAGGGAGAGAAAGACTCCTGTACAATAACAATTAGAGACTTTAGCACCTCACTCTCAGCAATAGATAGACCATCAATACAGAATAATCAACAAAGAAACAGCAGAGCTAAATTGCACCCTAGACCAAATAAACCTAACTGACATCTACAGAACATTCCATCCAATAGCTGCTGAATACACATTTTTTTCTCATTAGCACACAGAACATTCTCCAGGAGAGATCATACACTAGACCAAAAACACATCACAACAAATTAAAAAAGAAAACCCTGAAATCTTATTGAGTATCTTTTCTAACCGCAATGCAAAGAAATTAGTAACAAGAAAAACTCTGGCAACTATACAAACACATGGAAATTAAACTATTTACTCCTGAACAATCAATGGATTAAGGAAGAAATCACCTACAGGATACAGCAAAAGCAGTACTAAGAAGGAAGGGTATAGCAGCCAATGCCCACATCACAAAGAAGAGGTAAACAACCTATCACTGCATCTCAAGGAAGTAGGTAAAACAAGAGCAAATCAAACCCCAAATAAATGAAAGGAAGTAAAGACCAGAGTAGAAATAAATGAATGAAATAGATACTAATAAAAATACAACAAAGGGCTGGTTCTCTGAAAAAGATAAACAAAATATACAAGCCTTTAACTATAAGAAGAGAAGGCTCAAAGTAGGGGAGGCATAACAAATTCAGACACCACAGAAATGGACACATTCATAGTCACAAACAACTTACCAAGACTGAACCATGAAGAAATAGAAATCCCAAGTGATTATTAACAAGTAACCAGAATGTAATCAGTAATAAAAAGGCTCCTATCAACGAAAAGCCCAGAACCAGATGAATTCTACYAAACATTCAAAAAGGTAATAACAATTTTCCTTAACTATTAAGTCCCAAGTTTGTAAATTTGTGAATATTTCAACAAAATTAATAAAGGTGCATTAAAATCAGTTGGAAATCATAATTTAAAGCTTACATATCATATTTATGTATTTTTTTCAAATGCTCTAATTATTTACCTATTACTTTTCCTCCAGAGAATAAACCTCTAAAAACAATTATTTCAAAGGTACCGTAACTCAATTTGACTTTTTGTAGGTGTTCCACATCTGGGACAATGGGACAAAATGGGTTAAATTATTCCAGGAAGAGGAAGGAACACACAAACACACTCCATGAAACCACCACTACTCAAATAATAAAACCACATGAGGAACACAATAACACACACACACACACACACACACACAAATCAAGGAGGAAATCCTTGATGTGCA